CGTGCTGTCAAACCTACACTAGCAAGGAGATCGGGCTGAAACTATAGCTACAAGCTATCCAAGGATGGTACTATAGAATGTCACCTCAAGGTAGGCCTAGTGGCGTCATCTCTTGGTTAGGCCGGAAACTTATCAATCCACCCTCGTATGTATAGACATGCAGTGGGTAGTGCAGGGCTTCACAATATGCAACCTTGACTCATCCATATAAACTTATTCCCTCATTAAGGTACCAAATTAATATTTTTGATGATCTCCACCTGAAAAATCATTCCCGCCTCATGAAAACATGCCGGAATGAGGTGGCAGGCCAAGTAATTCGAGCACGCTCAGGTGTGTTTATATGTATACTTCACCTATGCTAAATGAGGTACTAAATTAAAGATCACGATGACCCTTACCCGTAAACTCAAATCCTGTCTCATAGGACGCTGCCGAAAAAAGGCGACAAGGGAAGATAGTTGTAACTTTTAAAGGTTTGGATAATCACCTCCCCCGCATTCTACTCAGTTTGATACCTTATTTAACGCTATCTCTGAAAGTTACTGCGCGCGGGCCCCCCAAATACATCCCTTCCAGCCTCTTTCAGCAGGTTCTGGCAAAGAAAGTTTGACTTTTTGGGTAGAAGTTATCAAGATCTTTAATTTGATACCTCGTTTAGCGCAAAACTACATAAGTGTAGTATATAAACCGCCAAAGATGAGACCGCGGAAGCCCAATCCGATTATTTGTTCTGCCACCCTTTTCTGAGATGTTTTCACGAGACAGGTAGAGGACATTAAGACCTTTAATACCGTATAATACTTCATTTAGGGCATTAGAATGGGCTTAGTTTGCTAACATTTGCACACTCCTACCATAGGGACGAGGTAGGATCGCATTTTCTGACGCCCTGCGCTACCCTCTACACATACCTATATATACTTTATTGTATTGTCATTAATTTTTCACATTGGTAATAATTTCTTAAAAGTCACTTCCAGCAGGATTTCTTAGACAAGGTTGCCATTTTATAATTACATAATGTTAATGGGGCATTTTTAAGGATGGATTCTAATTTCGCATCACAAAATAATTACTTGTTTCGTCTTTTACTCCATTCAAAAAGCACTATTTGTTTTGCCTTTATGATTGGAGGATCTCTTGTAGGTTTGGGCAATTTTAACTATTATTTTTGTATTTATTTAATTGTAAAAACCACCTTTGGGTTCTTCTTTCTAATTTGAAAATTATTGTATTCCGAACATAGGACCCATTTGATTAGTGACGCGGTTTTAACGAAATCCAAAATCCTATGTATCTGGTGCAGTGTTTTGCAAATGGAAAAATTCCCCTTCACTTCGATTAGATACGTACCTACTTTGTTTAGGTTTTTTTTATTTATAAACTTGCAGTATATTTATTAAGGTATTCTAAAATTTTCTCTGAACAATATTTTTCCATTACTATTTTTAGATATTTTCTCTATTTTATCAGCGGATTCTTCTGTCCTAAAAGTTTTTTAATTGTGCGGTGGCAAGCAAGAAGAAAAGCAACCAATTGTGTGATTTTCTTTCGGAAAATGACGCACCTGCTCACAGAGCTCTAGATGCCAAGTAGAAAATTAATGACTTGGGCTTTGAATTGATTAATCATCTTTGAACTTGGAAATTTTCTCTCTTAAAATAACATGGGTCCTGTGTAAAGAGCTTTCTAAATAAAAAAAAACAGGATATTTTTCTGGAGATCTCGAATGTGCCATACCATTCACATACTTTCTCTATGCCTTTAATTTTCAGTTGAATTTTTTTTTTTTTTTCGTAAAGTATATACGATGATGATCTTGG